TATATACTATATACACAATACTCTTCCAGGGGGTAAAGTATCAGAAGGAACTCCTTTTGTGGATTTTCAGACGATTCCGTTATATGGGGCCTATACGATATCGTGGACCGATATAGCCCATCTTTGAAGTAGATCTACTTGACAGACAATATCTTAATTCGTTTTGACTTTAGCGTGATTGCAACAGACGTCTGTCGGACAGAGGAATAATCGTCTTAAATTTTACGCTGATCAAGAATATATATACTTTGTTAGGTCAAAAATTATTATTTCGATGAGTTACAAAAGGAATCACGAACCTACTATGTATGGTGGAGTGTATAATAAATCAATTTAACTACATTGCTAATTGTAAATCCTAGTTGAGTTCCTGAGAAAAAGGGTATTCAAAATTTTCTTGTTCATTTCCAATAACATTAAATTTTTTTGGTTTCTAAAAACAATTAGTTCCATGCACCACCAGCCACTTTATAGTGATCTTCATTTGTGTGCATGTGTGTATAACAGGTGTTTGCTACACGTATGCATGTGTGTGTGTGCGTGAGAGTAAATAACACACACAACACATCCCCGCAACCTTTAATGAGTTTGCAACCTTTACGAGTTTTACTTTCCGCTTACCTAGCTAAGAGCAATCAAATTTAAGTGCAATTAAATATTTATTGTTGTTATTGTTGTGTGTGTGTTTTTTTGTTTTTTGTTAAAAAATCATAGAAATTATTAAAACAACAGCCAAAAATTAAAAACATGGAATGACCTCGAAATGTCACGAAACTAATAGCGGGTAATTTTTAGAATATCAAGGATATGGACTAATGACGTAGTCCGGCTAATGATTCTGGCTATACGCCGGACAGACAATGCAGCAATGGCAGAGGTAATATAATACAATTATCTAGTGTGAGAGATGGACAAGTTTTATGAAAACCACCCACCCGCCAGCCAGCTAGCATAAAATGTGTTAAGTGCTGTTTGGCGCGGGGGCAAGGTGATGTGAAAATTATTAAATTACCGAAAAAAGCCAAATAATAAAATCTAATTCACCGGATTCGTGCTTAAATCATCTGGTTTTGTTGTTCTCTAAAACGTAGCCACACTAAGCTCACAAACACACCGGCTTACTCGCTCCTCCTAAATTTAAGCATTGCGTCATTTGACAAATTGATTTTGTTTTGGCAAAGATTAACACACAAAAAAGCAGAAACAGAAACACAAAACCAAAAACATGTCTTTTCGATGGGGAGGAGAAGAAGAAGGAGGAGGAGGTGGATGGAAAGGTTTCACGACTTGATTTGGCAAAAATAAAAGAAATAAAAAATATTCTTTGCCATCGAAACAACCTTTATGGCTGGTTGTCTGATGAAAGAAAGTAAAAATTAGATGATGGGATGGTCGGTGCAGATGATGATGACAACATCTCATCCACAAAACCTGTTGCTCTACGTGCGAAATATTTGTTGTACCTACCTTTCGCAAAAAAATATAAAGTCACAATTCTTTTTTGAAACGCTTGCTTAAGTTTCCTGGATAATTATCAAACATCAACTATTTATTCATATGCAAATGTTAATCGCCGATTACTCAAATAAATAAAACAATAACATTCTAAAATTGATGGTCAAAGAAAATTAAGACTTGTTTTTTGAGTGATCGTCAACGACGACGACGCGTTCCAGCGGGACCTATGTCATGATTTCAATATTTTCATAATTAAATTTTAAAGAATATTTATTACGGTCTTAAAGAATGTGTGTAGTAAAAATATTATCAAGTCATAAAGAATAAACTCAAATGCACATCAAAGTAATATGGAATTCGGACAAGAACATCATTTGAGTTTCCTGCGATATTTTGGGTACGTAGTTCAGATGCGGATAAATTGGAATAAATGGAAGAAAAAAAGTTGGTAAATTAGATTTTGCTAGGAATCGTATTGTTTTTTTAATCATATAAATAGTGAAACCCTGTAGGGAATTTTGGGAAACGTTTTCACAGCATTTCTTCAAAACGCAGGAAAGAGTAAATTATTTAGTAGTTTGGTCATTATGCTGATATTGCAGACACGTATGGTCCCACCTTCTAAAAATATACCTTTTTTATGGAAAATTGAGAATACTTTATCTAAAAATACATACAGGGGATGTCACAATAAAACAATTATCTGAAACATTTACAGTTCATAGTAAAAAGTATTTTAAAGATAAAGATGAGCATCTAACAAGTTTTTGCGAATAATTAACCAAAATGTAAACCAGAAGGAATGAGCCGGTGTATACTGTATTCACATCAGATTTCAGGTTACCAAGCTTAAAAAAATTGCTGCCTTGTTGCGCAAATTGTAAGAGATATAAATATTGAAAATTGCGATCTTTGTGGAAGAGATAACAAAAGGGGTGGGCCGACAAATATCATCAGCACACCAGATCTTGTGTTAATACAAATATTGGGATGTGTGAAATGTGAAGGGATTCGGATGCTTACTACCATTTGTGGGGGAAGTCCCAGAATGAGTGGACCGATATATACCATGTTCAGGTCAGGTCTTATGTTAGAAGAAATATTATAATGTGTCCACAAAAATGGATGTTTTTTTCTTGTTTTATAAGGAAAATAATATTCTGTGAAAAATTTTACCTTTTGTGGGGAAGGTACCAGAAGAAGTGCACCGATATACCCATCTCCGAACTCGATCTAAGTTTGATAATAATATTACCATGTATCAAGTTTGGACCAAACCCGACGCTCCCTTCAAGAGTTATCGTGGGCACATGACAGACAGACGGACATCGATCCCAAATGTCCCGAAACGGAGACCTTGGTTCGTTATTTTGACTAGGCAAATTGTGACCGTATAAAATAATATATACCCCATATGGCTGACGGTATAAACATCACACTTCCTAATTCGAATAGAGAGTGATACTCGCTCGAATTTGAGCGGGAGCACTTTTGGGTATAAAAGAAATTTATTTTATTTTCGATGACAAATAATAGAATAAGAGAGTGAGTATTTTGTTCGTTTTCCAAATCGGTAACGAAAAAACCGACAGGGCTAAATTGTCTTAAAATTTTACGTTGATCAGAGTATATATAACTTTGTTAGGTATAAAATTATTATTTCGATGAATTACAAGCAGAATGACGAACTTAATATACTCTCCATACTATGTATGGTGGAGGGTATACAAATTAGGAATGACATCAAAAGTAGTCCTCTTGATAGAGCTGGTAAATTGATTTAGAACCTAACTAGATGTCCTTCTTAAGTTTTAAGCTGAATATGGATTATATTCGATATCAGTATTCAATTATTATTCCAATTATTAGAAAAAAAAGAAATTCAGCTATTTTATACAGTAGTTGCATTTCCTCTACCCAACATTTCAAAAGGTGATTTTAGAAACTTCTTCGGGTTCAAAAGGTCAGTCTTTAAAAAAGTAAATGCAAAAAAATTCATTATAAAGCTTAATCTTTTGGAATTTGCTATTTTTATTGAGCATTCCTCAATAATCGACAATAAACTAAACAAATTCAGCACTATGCTAATCTAGCATTATTGCGCTAAAATAAAACCGAGTATTGATTAAATCAACAACCATTCTCCCGCACTAAATCGTAGATTTTCCCACACAAATACTTCCATGAATCATGGGGTCGTTCATTGATAACATCGCGCAGAAATGCTCAGCCCAAGTCTCATTTACACATTTTGACACGTTTTTTATTGTTATTTTTGTCGATAAGACACCGAAAGTAAATAAATAAATGATATCAAAATTATTTTTACAAAGATGTGCAAATCATTGGTTATTTATAAAAATTTCGTTTTTGTCATGAAATGCCACACAACAATGTAAAAATAATAACAATAATGATTGATTTGACAAATCATTACACTTGGCGGAATTTAAATAGGTTTGAAGTTACGGCAGTTATAAAGGACAAAGGGGTTAAAAAGGGGTTTTGTGAATGTTAATATTTGCAAGTTTTTATAAGAAAGTTTGTTCAAAATAAATATAACATATATAATAAAATATAAATTTAAAAACAATAATATTTTGTCAATTTCATATTTGATTCGCTTGCTAAAAACAGCAAATATCGCACTGTTCATATCTACATTTCGCACAGTGTCGCGTAGTTGCTCGAATGTAAATAATCAGTTAAAGTCAAAAGATCTACATTTGTTTTTTACCACTTGAGTGTTAAAAGTTAATAAACAAAAACATTTATGACAACTGTTTTTGTTTTTTTTTTTTTTTTTTTGGAGAGTGAGAGTTGAAAAGTAATTTGAAATGATATCACCGTTTTAAAATATTGCATGTCAAAAGTCGTAAAGAGAGTGGGGACAGAAGAGAGAAAGAGAGAGTAAACAGAAATCTATTATCTTCATTACCGGCAAATACCGTAAATGTATGTACCTTGTTTTGAAAATGTCGTAGTAGAAATATTTGTGGGGGGAGGAGGGGAGTATAGTAATAAGAAAAAAATAAAAATTATTCCCAAAAATTTTCAAATTCTGTGTTATATTTTTAAAATAATTAGAAGTCAACAATAAAGAGCTAGCCGGCATGCATATGGATCACGGACAAGTCGAATACAAAAGCTCTGGTATGGATTCGGTCCAATATTACTCATGGTATAAACATGTTATTTTGATGAGCCATTAGCCTATGGCCTAGTATATTTGAAAGAAAATATAAATTAGAACCACGGTTTGACATGATCACCGTATAGTGAGTCCGCCCGATTTCAAAAACAGTTATAAAATTGTACTAGGAAAAACACATTCACATAAAAAAGTTAGGGTCCAGGTTTCGAAATTGCATTTTTCAAGATCCAAGACAGACCTTGTTTTTATTTGAAATGGCTGCTGCTTCAGTGATTTGTTTTTAAATATATTTTCAATAATCCACAGTTTTGAATAAAGTATTGATAATATTTTAATAAAAATTCAAATACTAAAATTTAATCTGTCATTTCCCCCTCTCCCATTGCAGTGGCAGCAATCCGAAGATATTAACCGTAAAAAGGAAATCCGTTCGCAGCTGTACAAGTTACGCGAGTCCCGACTACGAGATCTCTATCAGTTCGATATAATGGCGGATAATAATGTTGCTGGCTTCGGCAAGGACCCTCTGGCGCCCAGTCATGGCGAGTCCTTTGGCGATCAGAGTTTCCAGAGTTTGAAGTCAAAGGAAATTCGCGATTCGATGAGTCCATCTGAGCTGAAGTTTCAATCGATGGCATTGAATAATCCCAGCAGCACGGGATGGAATGTTCAATCATCGTCGGAGGTTACCCCCGATGGTAGAGGTTTTCGTGCCGAAACCATTGCCACGACTGATGGTGAGTATTGAAATTTTGCAATGAAGAAACAAAATTCTAACTCCAATTCCGATTTCTATGCAGGTGTGGAGCACATCAATGGCGGTACTGCTGAATTCAAAGGACGCAACGAACAACGTTCCATGGCCATGCAGGAGGGTGACGACAAGAATTTCGTAAAGAAAGCTTCGGAAAGTTCCAACACCCATTTGCAAGAGAAGGTTGTCATCGGCGATGAAAACTCCGGACGCACTGAAATCCGTACCAGTTCATCGACATCCACCTCTTCGTCCAAGGTCTTCCAATCGTCCTCGACCACGGAATATGAAAATGACCATCCCGTTGATTATCATCAACCCAAATACTTGATGGATTCCGCTCCCCAACGCATGCAAGAGCCTCAACAATATCAACAGCGCCCCAGCCAAGCCGAACCACGCTATGAACCACGTTATGAACCACAATACTACGACGACCACCAACAACAACAATACACCAATCAACAAACCGAACAATACCAACGCAATCGCCAGGAGACCAACACTTCGCAGAATGTCCAAACGAACGAGACGCGCGAGCAGAATAAACGCTATGTCGACATGGATAAGGCTTCGCCGGAATATCAACAGCATGTCCAATACTTGATGTCCCAACCGGGTGAGATTATCTCAAACACCGTGGAATATCCGAAGCCGAATGTGAAAATGATTACGACAGTGAAGCGCCTGCCCGACGGCACCATTGTGCGCAACAAGCGTTACGAGACCGAAGAGACAACACCAACTCCAGCACCATCCCAGACCAATACCACCACTCGTCAGACAGTGACCAACACGAACAACACCCAGAGACGTGACTCCCAACCTACCTATCAACAGCCAAAAAACTACCAGGGCCAACCACCTTCTGAACGTTTGAGGCGTCCCAGTGACGATGTTGTCGACAATGCCGAGACAGTACGTCGTCACACAACCACAAACGATGATACCGTGGAGACCAAGTACTCCACCACGAAAACATCCAATCGTAAATTCTCCACTGAAACCACTTCGGAGACCATTCACGAATACGATGATGGCTATCAGGTACCAAGTGGTGGTCCACGTCCCAAACCGGTAACAAATGATTTCAGCACCCATGGTTTCCCCTCGGTAAGGCCAAATAAACCAACCCAGGAATTTGCCAATCATAGACCACAGGCAATGCACCCCAGCCAGGCCAGTCCTTCACAGAAAATGACCTCTCCGCCGCCCAGGGAAGCTCTTATTCCAGTGCGCAGCGAATATGAACCCACTGTTACCGAGAGACGCATTCCCACCGAAGATGGCGAGGTTATAGTCGTCAGCTCCGAAAAGAAGCGTAGTGTGAAGCACCACACCAACTCGGAACGCATCATCGAAACTGATATTCGTACCACCGATGACAATCGTTATGAACAGATCTCGGACGTCAGCACCTCGAAGACGAATCAAGATTTTTCCACTCATGGATTTCCTTCGGTAAGGGAACCCCAGCAGGGGCAACCGCCTAGTAGAACCAGTCCTGACTACTCTACTCAAGGATTTCCATCGGTAAGGGGACCCCAATCTCAACCCAATGCTCATCCTGATTATAGGCCACAGCCATCGGGCCCCATGCAGCCCACTGGCAGCGTAACAAAAACCATTCAAACCCCTGATGGTGAGGTGATCGTCACTTCCCAAAAGTCCCACACCACAAAATACAACACCAATTCAGAACGCATTATTGAAACCGAAGTGTTGGGGGACGATGGTCGTCCAGTGCGCCGCATACCAGTCGATGTGGAATATGTCAGTGATAAATACACGGTAACTACTCCCGGAGATCAAGTGCCTCAGAAAGGATTCCCCTCGGTACGTTCACCAACCAAGCCCGTGGCCGATTATTCCACGCCTCATGGCTTCCCTTCGACAAGATATAGTCATCAGAAACCATCGACTCCTGATTACTCCACCCAAGGATTCCCTTCCACCAGGGACACCCACAAACCGTCCACACCAGATTATTCCACCCAGGGTTTCCCCTCCACCAGAGATGGCCCACAGCCCAGCAGTACTCCTGAAAGGCAATATGTGTCACCGGTAAAGACGCCAACCTCTTCTTCGAAGCCATCTCCCACCGTCGAAGCTACGGAGCGCATCATACGCAAGGAGAAAGAAGTTGATTCCGCCCATCGGGCATTCGCCGCCTCATTGCGCAGTTCATCGCCTGTGGATCAAACCAGGCGTGACAGCTACAGCACCGATGGACCACGTCACACGCCTCGCTCTAGTGTCTCGTCCACGAAACCGTTTAGACGCGATATGCGTGAGGGTTCCCATGACAGTGAGACCAGTCGCATTAGCACTACCACTGTTACGCGTCAGACCCCACCGAGATCGGTTGGTGGCAAGACTGTGGTGGTTACTGAACGCGTGACCTCCTCGTCCTCGCCTCGTGGTACCAAATCCCCATCGCCCGGGAAGAATGTCACCACCACCACCACTACAACAACCCGAACGGTGACCAACAAAGCGCCCGTCAAAGATGTGCCGAAATCAGGTACGCATTCCTAAGCCTAAGCATATGTGAAAGTAAATGGAAACATCATGTGTTCTCCAGATAACCACAACCACCACCAGCATACTACTACTACCTCCACCACCAACAACAAGAACAAAAACAACAATCAGAAAAATACCACCTTCTCTTCCCCCTCTGCAAATGAAACTCTATCCTATCCCATTAACCCCGATTCTTCACTAACCATTACCAAAAAGACCGTAGGCGACAGTCAGGCGACCAAAAGCCACCAGCTGCCACTACTGAGCGAGGTTATAGAGGAGCCATGCATTAAGAAATCCTATTCTCTGCTTGGTCCATGTAACCGTCCCCCCAAGACCGCCGCCAGTGAACAGGGTAAGAAGAGATGAATGTGGATGGGGAATTTTTGAAAGCAAAAACAACAACAAATTAAAAATCACTTGGCCTCTGGGAAGCAAAAAAGAAACTTCTGGCAGACCCATCCAAATTACCACCCACCCTGTCTCTGTCCACCCATTTTTCACTTTAATGTTCCTTTTCTTCCCCTGAACCCCCCACTCTAATCGTTGTCCCTATCTTTGATTTGCAAGGTGGCGTAGAGACATAACCGCATGGTCTTGGCACCTAACCTCAAATTCACTTCACACGTGGTTGCGATAAGTTGGACGAAAACAACACATGGCATGGGAACCCCTCAAAATTTAATGGAATTTGACTCATGAATCTCACAACAGATTTGGACAATCGCATGAACACACCACAGCCTAATTCGACTAGTTTAAGGTCCAACTAACTTCACATACCCTCTATGCCTGCTAACTTATTTATATGTGTATCCAGCCAATAACAATAACAACCACAACTACAACAACAATCTAATCACATAATCACAATGTAGAATTTGAGAGAAAATGTAGTGACTAATTGTTGAAATGAAAAAATAAAATCAAATAAATATCCAATTTATTAACCATAGCATCTAAGCGTAGCCGTAGTAGTAGTACTTGTTGTAATAATAAACTATCTATGAATGTTTATGATTCTGAATGTATGTATGTATTTGTATGTAGAATGTAATTAAACAAAAATTATACTAAAAATGGAATACTTAAATAAACTTTACAATAAAACACTGAAAAAAAAAAAAAACAAACCAAAACCAAACAAAAGGTGACGATTATAATTGAGTAATTTCCGAAACAGAACCATCACCCCGATCATCACCAGCACCAAGTAGTAGAAGTAGTCCATATCCATCCAGTAAAAGTAAAACTCCCCTGGGTGAAGACGATCAGAAACCGCCAAAGTCACACACCTCACGGCCATTCATGCCAACATCATCTCCATCATCTAGATCACCCCAGACAGATCACGACCGATCACCAATTGGCTACCAAGATGTACGAAATTCAAGAGATCAGCAGCACCCACACCCAGACAGGCCCAGGCCTCATGACAATGATGAGCCCAAAGCTGTCACTAGGGAAGACACCTTCGAACAAGTCGACATTGATAGGGATACCAGCACAGTGGTGGCGGTGTCACAACGTAAACCATCGCGTGATACTCCCACTCGCCACCAGCCGGACGACGAAGTCTTCATTAGCGAAGAAGATCACGTCTACGAAGACATTGATTCGGCAGTAACACGCAATGTCAAGACCACAACCAAACAACTGATTACCCATGAAAAACAACCGGGTCGTACACCCCAAAGTGGAGTACGTCCGGTGGGTGAAACAAAACGTCCAGCACGACGCAATGAACCTGAAAAGACCACACCGCTAGCACCCAAGTCCCAACAGAGCCCTAGGACCACACCATCGACGCCCACACAAAGCCCTCGTAAATCTCTGAGCACAAGCCAACCAAGCAAGACGCCATCGCCCACCAAGCCCTCAGACAAGGCACCCAAACAGCCCGGAAGCTCAAAGCAACCTTCGGGCGATACTCGCAAACCAAGTAAACCGGAAATTTTGAAACAAACCGAAGTGATTAAATCGAAAACTACGAAATATACCGAAGACTATAGGCAACAGTCTCCCGAACCTAAAAAGAAACCAGAACCACGACCAAGTGGTAAGAGTCCCCAAGAGATCAAGAAACATGATGAACCCAAACCGAATAGCAAGAGCCCTGGACGGGTATATCCTTTGGAAGATGCAAATGAGCCAAAATATACATCGCCTGATTACGAATATCCCTCGGAGGATGAGGAGCAACAGAGGAAGCCAAGCTCGAAGAGTCCTGCTCGGGAATATCCACAATCAAGACCGGTTGGCAAAAGTCCCCAACGGGAAGATAAGCCAAGAAACGAATATCCTGGCGGCAGATATCCCCCAGGAGATCAGACAAACCCCAAGCAACAAGAACAACCGGGAAAACCAATTAGTAAGAGTCCTGAACGTAGATATCCCGCTGAGAAACCACAATCTAGACCAGATGATAAGAGTTCCAAACCAGGTTACCAACAACCATTGCAAAAACCTGGTAAACCTGAACATCCTTACGACACAGAGGAAGAGGTAGAGCGGGTTACAAGTGAATTTACCATTAAAACTACGAACAAAAATTTAAAGACTCGTCAGGATATTGAATTTGTGATTGAGGATAAACCACAATCAAGACCTGTAGGCAAAAGTCCCCAAAGGGAATATCCTGATGAGAAATCTCCATCAGGTGATGCAACAAAACCCCAGCAACAGAAACCGGGAAAACCAATTAGTAAGAGTCCTGAGCGTAGATATGCTGATGATAAACCGAAATCGAGACCAGATGACAAGAATTCCAAACCAGGTCACAAACAACCATCCCAAGAGTCTGGTAAACCCGGGCATCCTTACGACACCGACGAGGAGCGTGTCACCAGTGAGTTTACCATTATAACTACCAACAAAAATGTGAGGACTCATCAGGATATAGAATTTGTGGATGAAGACAAACCACAATCAAGACCTACTAGCAAAAGTCCTCAAAGGAAATATCCTCACGAAGATAAGCCAAGAAATGAATATCCTGATGAGAGATATCCCTCAGAGGATAAGACAAAACCCTTGCAAAAGCAACCGGGAAAACCATCTCATGCCGATGATAAAACAAAATCGAGACCAGATGACAAGAGTTCCAAACCAGGTCACAAACAACCATCCCAAGAGCATGGTAAACCCGGACATCCTTACGACACTGACGAAGAGCGTGTCACAAGTGAGTTTACCATTATAACTACCAACAAAAATGTGAAGACTCGTCAGGATATAGAATTTACAAATGAAGATAAACCACAGTCAAGACCAAGTAGCAAAAGTCCTCACAGAGAATATTCTGTATCTCCTGATCGTCAATATCCCTCAGGGGACAGAACAAAGCCCAAACAGCAACCAGGCAAACCTTCTGATAGGAGTCCTCAGCGCACATATCCCAATGAGAAACCAGATGATAAAAGTCCCACGCCAGACTATCCTGGCGATGGAAGCTTTAAACAACCATCCCAAAAACCTGGTAAACCGCAACATCCATATGACACCGAAGAAGAAGTGGAGCGTGTCACAAGTGAGTTCACCGTAAAAACAACGAATCAAAATGTCAAGACGCTTGAGGATATAGAGTTTGTGGTTGAAAGTAAACCGCACTCAAGACCAAGTAGTAAGAGTCCTCAAAGGGAATCTCCTGATCGTCCGTATCCTTCGGATGATAAAACAAAACCCATGACATCTGGCAAACCTTCCGATAAGAGTCCTCAGCGTACATATCCTTACGATAAACCTCAATCTACTCCAAGTGGCAAGAGTCCCAAATCTGGTAAACCTCGTCCATGGGAAGATGCACCCTTGGAACCAGAGCATCCTTACGATGTGGATGAAGAAGAACGCATCACAATGGAGATGACTATTAAAACAACCAACAAAAATGTCAAGACCCGTCAAGATTTTGATATTCACGATGAAAATGAAGAACAATTGATTTTAACTGGCAAACGTCCTCAAAAGAGATACCCATATGGAGATAGCGATAAACCCCGAGAAGAATCTCCGAATCGAGAATATCCATTGAGGGACAAAGTGAAACCTGGTGAACCAAGCAGGAAGAGTCCTAAACGTACACATCCTCACGATGAACTACAATTCGAACAAAGTGACAAGAGTCTCAAACCAGACTATCCAAAGAAAACACAACCGGGAGACAAATCACCCTTGGAACCCGAATATCCTTCAGATACAGAAGAAGAGGAGCGTCACACAAGTGAGGTTACCGTAACAAAAACAAGCAAAACTCGTAAAGATATTGACATTCTCGTTGAGGATGAGACTACTTTAAGGACTCGAAAGCAGACCAAGGAACCCAAAGGACAACAGCCGGATACTGAAGAAGAGGATGACGAAGAACCCAAATTCAATGACAAAAAACCAACTTCAAGAACTCCACAATCTGCCAAAACTAAATATCCGGAACAACCTGATGAGCCTACATCCAAGACTCCCAAATCTACCCGACCAAGTCTATACGAAACCACGGCTGAAAAATATATTCGTAACGATGATATCACCACCGTTACCCAAAAGAACGTTACGACAACTATCCATGACAAATTCATGGATGCGGAACGAAAATATCCCACAGAGGAACCGCAAAAACCAGAGGATACCAAGGAACCAAAAGCTCCAAGATCAGAAACTGAAAGCACCGAACCTAAGAAACCGCTGTTGAATAAAGATGACAAAGATTTCCCCTCCAAGTCTCCAGAATATCCAGCTGAGAAAAAACCCACTCCCAAGAGTACCAGGCCTAGCCTATATGAAACTACAGCCGAAAAATATATACGAAACGATGATAACCGAAATGTTACACAAAAAACGACCACAACCACTATTCATGAGCAGTTCATTGAGGCGGAACAGAGTCCACGGAAACCCAAAGATTTTGAGCCAAAGGCTTCTGAACCCTTCTCCAAAGCACCACAGCAGCCAAAAGATAACGACAAAGAACCTAAAGCAAAGGATAGTCCACAGGGTAAACCAGAACCAGAAGACCAAAAACCTAAGGTGTTTGAGGCCAAATTGGCCGATTATCCCGATAGGCCACAAGAAAGCTATCCTAAGGATAAGGAACCTTCATCTCATTATCCAGAACAGCCGGATGATTCTAAGACCGTAGGTTACCCAGGAGACAAAAAACCATTCTCCAAGCTTCCAAAAGAAGCCGAACCTAAGGACAATGAACCTATCAGAAAACCAACTACCAAGACCACTCAGACTACCACCCATGAAAAGTTCATTGAACCTCAAACTACTCCAGCTGAGCGACCAGATGGTGCCTTCATTTCCAAGGCTCCCGAAGAACCGGCCCAGTACCCCAGCTACATTAAGAAAGGCACAACTCGCCGAGATACATTTGAGGATCGTTGCCGCCAAATTTTAGGTATGGAAAGTTATGGTGACACACCTGGAGCCTACAAAAAACGTCCCTCCAAGGATGTGGAATTAGAGGAAGAGGAAGATGACAAAGTAACGCAAAAAGAAACTGTTCAGAAAACCACTTTTGAAGTAAAAATTGAGGATTGTGATGATGAGGACGACGAACCTCTGTCCATAAATAGTGTCAAGAAGACATTGGTTACAAAGAAGGTTCCTGAAACTAAGCCGCAAACCAAGCCCAGGGACATGAAACCCTATGAAGATGATAAACCAGAGACCACAAGTGAATCGGAGCCCGAAGTGACATATCCTGACGATGAAGAGACACTTGAGGTGACAACAACCGAGACGGAGTTCATTGATGTCACAAAGAAATCCCCCACTGAAACCAAGAAACATCCCAAGGGGCCTAAGGAATACACAACCACAACAGAAGAAATCTATGTGACGGAAGTAAAGAAACACCAGCCAGACACTACAAGTGATTCGGAGCCTGAAACCAGGGAAACATTTAAAGAAACCATTGATGTAACCAAGAAACGCTCCGAAAAGACACAGGTTGATGTTGGCAAGGAACCCACATCAAGATCACCAACCAGACCCAAATCACCCACATATGATACCAGGAAGCCTTCTTCTAGATCTCCCCAAAGATATCCTGAAGATATAACATACCAAACGGAGGAGTTGACCAAAGAATCTCATATCGACATTAAAAAGAAAGTCACTTCCCAGTCACCAACAAGACCAAAATCTCCAACCCATGAGACAAAGAAGCCTTCTGGCAGATCACCTCAGAGAACGCCCAAGGACAATAGCTACGAGCAAGTTGTGGTGACTACCGAAACCACCACAAGAAAACCAACTTCTAGATCTCCCATGAGAACGGTTTCACCAACAGACGAACAGAAGAAGCCGAGATCACCATCCACATCGCCACAAAGAAGACCGAAAGGTCCCACCTACGAGACAACAGAGGTGATCAATGAACGCACAGAAACTTCACGGAAACCCGGCTCCAAATCACCTACGAGACCTACCTATGGGGAAAAGAAACCTTCCTCTACGTCACCGCAAAGAACTCCCTCCTCGACGTCCCCTCAAAGAACTCCCAAGATCTACACTTCTGAGACAGAGGAGGTGATTATCGAAACCACAACTAGGAAATCTGGATCGCCTGTGAGACCAGTTTCGCCATTCAGCAAGAAACCAACTTCCAGATCGCCCACAACTTCTCCACAACGTACTACCAAGGGTTCGACATATGAGACAGTGGAGGTGGATAAGGAGATCACAAAGAAACCTAGCTCCAGACCAAAGTCCCCCACCTACGACACTCACAAGAAGCCAACCTCAGAATCACCCTCAAGAGGTCCCAAATCAGCTGCTCTTAAACCTTCCAAATCGCCCGAAAGACCAATCCTAACCGAGGACTCCGAGTACGAAAGTGTGATTGTTACCAAACAAACTGACATTTCCAAGAAAACAACATCCCGATCACCCACGAGAGTGAGCGAGCTCACTCCTGAAACTCCCAAGAAACCTAGTTCCAGGCCAAAATCGCCAACATACGAGACACAGAAGAAACCAATTTCTCAATCACCGACGAGAGGACCCAAGGCGGCACCACATAAACCATCTAAATCTCCCGAGAGAGCAACTTTAACCGAGGACTCTCAGTACGAGACTGTGGTTGTCAGCAAACAAACTGATATTACCAAGAAAACAACGTCTAGATCACCTACCAGAATGGCAGAGCCAAAGCCATCAACCGTCGATTCTCGCAAAAAGCCAACTTCTCAATCACCTTCAAGAGGCCCCAAGACCACTCCATCCAAAACCTCCAAATCACCTGACCGAGCAACCCTAACTGAGGATTCCGAATACGAAACTGTGGTTGTCACTGAACAAACTGACGTTACCAAGAGAGTGACCTCCAAATCACCCACAAGATTTACAGAACCCAGACCTGAACGCCAACCGTCAAAACCCACAGATACCTTCACAAGGCCCACCGCAAAGAAGCCTCAAGTTAAGACCAATGTGAATGAGGAATTCATCACCAGCGAAAAAGTCTTGGTGACGAAGGTCAAAAAAGATTACCCCGAAACGACAAGTGAATCGGAACCAGAAAGACCTCAACCTCATGAGGTTTCCACCAAAACAATCGAAATCACCAAGAAGCGCAACGAATCCTCACCCACACGAAGACCGGAGGGGTCGTCTCCCGTCTACGGTTCGCCAAAGGATAGATCTTACGAAACCATTGAGGTGACCAACAAGAGAATTGAAACCACCAAAAAACCTAGCTCTAAATCACCCACAAGACCCATAACCGATAGGGAACCCTCTAGCAGAGTAACAAAGAAAACCAGCACTCCAACCAAGCCGATTGCAAAACCCACAATGGAATCACCCAAGCAAGGGCCAAAAACGAAGCCCCGTGGACCGACAAAATCGAACATAACTGAAGAATTTATAACAACTGAAAAGGTCTATGTCACGGGCATTGAAAAAGATTACCCTGAGACAACAAGCGATTCCGAAATGGAGCCCCAAGAAACGTACGTGGAAACCATCGAAGTTACCAACAAGAAGAAGGCCGATAAAAATATTGAAATCACCAAGAAATCCGTCAACAAAACACCTACCAAGCCGTCTTCGGAGGCTCCAAAGAAAACGCCGGTCAAGTCGACGCCATCCAAGGACACCAAGGTTGTGACGGAAACCATTAAGGACCGCTTGAGATCTTCGGTGCGAAAGGATAAACCTTCGCCCAAGAAACCCGATCAGGTTGATGCTGTTTCTTCGCCTGAAACCAGCCCCAACCGCCTAACAGAACGCCGCAGGTCCAGCAATATTTCGGTCAATACCGAAATCATCATCGAACATACCGAACACACTGCGGAAACGGCAACAACAAAGAAAACTAAAGACTCAGTCTACAAGGAAATCATCGATTCTACAACACTGCCGGAAAAGCTGACTAGGAAAATGCCTGTAACCGAACGCAAGGAATCGGCTCCGGTCCATAGGGTAACACGCAAGGACAAGGACACCAAAATGTCACGTTCCACAAGTGAGAATCTAATCAAGGTCCAAAAGAAACCTGAAGATGATAAGCCAAGGATTCTTACACCAACAGCGGACAAGAAACCAACACCCAAACCGACTGCCGATCATCGGCGCCCAAATAAATGCTTTGCCACTAAAACCATAAATCTCAGTGCCACCGATCGCCTGATGAGCAGCGAGGATATGGAGAATGTGATCATCGACATCCAACATGCCAAGAGTTCAAGGGAACCCTCCCCCGATAAAATTGTACCAACACCGGTACCAGCTCATTTGGACACCGGCAAGCCGCGATATCCCGATGTCGTCCAGGAACCAGAAGACGAACCCAAACGCAAACCGGTCATAAAGAATATTCCCATTTTCGAGGAGGAGAACAACAGCTATGTGGGTTGCCACATCAGCGAAGCTAGCCACAGAACCTTTGAGGATGATGACGACAGCTTGTGCACTCCCCTGGTGGAGGCCCCCTCCAGCCTGGACTATCCCTCGATTTCCGAAACATCATATCCCACAACAACTGTGGTCACTGACGATGAGTGCCTGCTGAGCGTGCACGATAAGGTCAGTCGCTTCCAAAACATTGCGGAAGAAGTCAAGAAACCCAAAACTTCCAGCCCCTTCCACAGGGAATTCGATGACAAGACACGTGTGCCCGACAACGATGAGTGCCTGCTGAGCGTCGACGAAAAGGTCGATAAGTTCATAAAGAGTGCCGAAAGTCTGACCACAAAACAGACAACAATTACCACGGCACGTGACTCGAAACCCAAAGAATTCCCCGGGTTCAACGACGACGAGGATGACCTAGAAGTCACCGAGTGCCCATTTACAACAGTTAAATTGGCTCCAAGTGAACCACAAAAGTCACCCGAGCTGGTCAGACACATATCCCGACACATTTCACGTCAGAGTGATTTGGGCGAGCCGGCCACGGAACAACAGCACACCCATCGCAATGAGACGACGATGCATGAGGAATTTTTAAGCAGCCAAACCACTGCTGAGGAATTTGTGACTCATCGTCGTGACCAGACGACATCAGCTGTAAAGCAACAACCGCGTCGTCCAGTTGATCGTCATGATGATGACCGTGATGATGAGGTTTATGATGAAGTGCATGTAAACGGCGATGATGATGATGAAGAGTTAATACCCCACACGGCAATGCACACCGTACGCTTGGAGGAACGACGTCAGAAAGACATTTTAGCCAGACCATCTGTCTTTGATAACAGCAAGCCTCGCGGAGGCAGCACAAAGCCAACGCCAACTCCAACCAAACCAACGACTGCCACAACTCCATCCACGGCCAGCAGAATCAACAAAACTCAGCCCAGGTATGTGTCACCGGCAACCAAAGATTCGGAGAAATCCAGGCAATCTACACCACAACAACAACGGCCACAGGTAAAACCAAAGCAATCGCCAAAGGTAACTGCTACGGCCACCACAACAATCACCAGTCACACCACCACGACGACGAGTGCGGCTAATAAACGCCAGCCGCATACACAATCGCCCCAGCAACGACGCACACATCCAGACTCTGATTCCGATTACCGGGTTGGCAGTCACAACAAAAACGAAACGCCAGTTAAAAGTAGCACAACAATCGGCAAACAAAAACCCAAACAACAGCCAGTCTACGGCAGCATTAACGGGCCCAAAAAATCTCCACATTCACCGCAGCCGGTCGTCGGCATCAGCGTCACCGTCAAAAAGTCCCCAATGCACACAGCCGAACAACAAAGACGAAGCACCACCACAACGACCAACACCAGCAAGAATGTGAAACGAAGCCACGTCGAAGTCGATGAATACGAACACGAACACGACGACGACAGCGACAACGTCGACTATGTTGAGGAATTTCAGGTAGTTGAAGAGGTTGTGCCCAACGACGACAGTGAGACAGAACTGATCATTAACTCTGACACAACAGTTCGGTCAACGAACAGCCACCAGACGAAAGAAGAAACAGTCAAGACAAAACGAGCCACCGCAAACAACGTCCGTCGAGAGCCATCAACTGCAAGTCCTACTTCGAAATCTCCCGCAACTCGACCGAAAATGAAAGAAACGACCCCAGGTTCACCACTGTCGACACCAAGTAGAAGCACCAAAGATCACCACTCCGTAGATCTAACCGAGAAAAGCACTTTACACAAACACAGCACCACAAATAAATCCCCCAGCACAACCACCACCACCACTGAACCAAATGAATCATTTTTAGAGAACCGTCCGCCCATCAAGAAAACACCAGGACAGACACCGTACAGGCCGAAGACCATGATAACGCCAACGGAATCGGTGGCCGCTCGCCGGAGTCTGTTCGAGAATCACAACAACCAGGCGACGAAACCATTGGCCAGAAGACCAACACCGACATCGACCAGCAGCAGTCCCAGCTCGGGCAGGAGACCATCGTATATGGATCACACCAAGAGTTCGTTGGAACACATACGACGTGATTCGTTGGAAATAAACAAAACGAATTACACTCGTCGTCCCTCGGCAAATGATGATGATGCTCCGGATCGCAATAGCCAGGTAAAGTTTGATGTGCCGCAGAAGCCCCGCTCCGATGTTCTGGACACAGACGATTCGGAATACAACATTGAGGAGATCTTTGATTTGGTGATATTGGAGAAATTACTGGAAACGGTGACATCCTATGAAGTGCGAAGACGTATTCGGGCCCAGATTCGTTTGGTCAAGAAGAATATGAGCAATGCGGAATACACCACAGTCACCACCACTTCAAAGAGGGACAATAAAACAAAGCCAACCAGCGCCCAGGTCATTAGCAAAAAAGAAGAGAAACAACAACAACACTATTATTACAAAGAGGAACATCAACGGAAAGAGAGACACTCATCCACTCACACTTCGCCCGAGCGTGTGCGTACCACCCAAGTAACCAAGGTCACCACGCGTCGCACTGAAAGTCCTGACTCGAAATACTCAAGTCCCAGTGAAGGACGCAGTGTTAGTCCCCAGAGTCGACTCTCCCAGACCAGGGTGTGCAGCCGGACACACGAACGCAGTCCCAGTCCCTCCAGTGTGGCAACCGAAATCAAGGTGAAGGAAGTGAAAAAGAAACAATACGAAAATGTCGAACATGTGGAAGAGATCTACAGGGAATCGTCACCGAAAATAAGAAAACCCAAAGCCTACTATCCCATCGATGATGACGAGGAGGAGGTAGACACTTTGTCCAGGCCGGTGAAGAAAACGGATGTCTCTGAGGAGTACGACAGTGCCGAGTTGCATGAGGAGCGTACCTTTAAAAAGGAAACCACACACAGACGTTCGTCACGGAAATCCATATCTCCACAATCCTCACCGGAAAGACAAAAGGCTTCGTCGCCTCGTGCTGGTTCGCCAGAGGGTAAGAAACCTCTAACATCTAGAGTTTCACCCAAAAGTCCGGAGCGCAAAACCATAATTACCGAGCAACAACAGCAGCAAACTTTGATGACCACCAAACAGCAACCGAAACGTACCCCTGTCTCTGCTCCTCTTAAATCTAAACCTGAACCAAAAGCTCCCGTCTGGGCTGATCGTAAGAACATCTTAAAATCTCCTTCAGCCACTCCAAAGAAGCCATCCGCCGTTGCACCCGACTCCAGAATATCTTCCAGTGTCAGTCGCACCATGAAATCCAGCACACAGCAACAAAAGGTGAGCAGCAGTACGAAATCGTCGTATGTCGAAGATGATTGCATCACCTCCAGCTACGGCATTGGTCCAACCGATGAAAATGGTCTGCCACTCTTTGGCATCAGGGCGCTGAAAATGAAGAAGCCACAACAACAACAACAGCCTGCAAGTGAGCCGATCTGTGAAACAACAGAAGGTAAGTTGATTTGTTAAATGCAACACCAACAACAACAAAAACAATGTAATTTTGAAAATAAAGTGAGTTGAAAAAAAAAAAAAACAAAATAAAACAAAACAAAAAAATAATGATAATCCAAACAGTGACTCAGGGAATGCAGGAGAAGCGACTGTTTGGCAATATCTCTTCATGTGGGGTTGAAGAAATCTTTGGGAATTTTGTGTTGCTTTAGTCATGAGTGTAAAGCGAGTTGACGAGCGATAATTTTAAGTTCAGATAAAAACATTTTTTGGAATAAGTTTAATCGCAGGGCATTAAAGAAACTGCATTTAAAACCGCTACTTCCTACTGGTGACAAATATTCGAACTCAACATCGAAATACAAAACTTTTTTTGGGGAACAACATTTAAACTAAAAAAATGCAATTCGATACTACAACATTTTTAAATGTAATTTGAGATATGTATTTGAAATTCGCAACATTGCAATTGCAATCCGAGAATTGCTTCTGTAGTTCGTAACATTTCAATTGTAACTCTTTCATTTGTAATTCGAATTACTCAATTTGAAATTCGAAAAAATTACAAAAAAAAAATATATATTTTAATTTTTTTTTTGTTGTTGAATGTTGCTTGTGGATCTGTCAAAACATTAATTGATGACTTTAGAAAAGTAGCCGAGAAGATCTTTAATCTGTGACAGAATCAGAAATAGTCCCTGACCTTCGTTATCTGTCAAAAATAATAAATAGGTGTGAATACTTTTCTTACAGGACAGGGGACTTCTCTCTGAGAGAGTATAAAAGTTTTATTCTCTTTTGAAAGGAAACTGTGAAAAGTATAAAGATAGAAAGCCTGTAAAAATTTGACAGCAATCAGCTGATTAGTCTAAACAAAATAAATTTGCCCGCCAGAAAAAGAAACAAAGCAGGCAAAACAAATTATTAAAAAAAAAAAAAAAATAGGGTTGCAAATTTAAAAAAAAAAAAATACAGTTAATTTCCGGCCGGACCGAAGTTTTTATACCCTCCACCAATTTGAAAATTCAAAAAAGGAAAATCCGTCGAAAAATACCGCTCAAATGAAAACCGTTATATGAAGACTATACGAAGATGTGGTCCTGCATAAGTAATTTTTGTCATAGGCTGCAGTAACGGTTCCGAACTTCAAATACGAAATTTGATGCAATTCCTGTGAATAATGTCGCAAAAATCATGAAAATATCGAATATCTGGGGGTTTCGTTATATCGGCGCTATTCTAAAACGTTAACCAATGTCGACAATTCTCTTCCAGGGAATAAAGTACTCACAAAGAAATCCTTGTGTGGATTTAAAAGACAATTCCATTGAAAAATTTGGCTGAAATCATTAAAATACTAAATATCGGGAGGTGCCGTTATATGGGGGATATTCGATATTGTGGACCTATATAGACAATTCTCTTCTAGGGAATAAAGTACTCAGAAAGAGCGGATTTTCAGACAATTCAATTGAATAATGTGGCTAAAATCATAAAAATACCGAATATCGGGGAGTACCGTTATATGGGTGCTAAACGATATCGTGGACCGATATAGCCCATCTTCGAACTTGACCTGCCTACAGACAAATGACAGATCTATGCAAAATTTTAGCTTCCTATCCTGTTTCGTTTTGACTCTAGCGTGGTTACAATAGACAGGCAGACGGACAGGGATAAATCGTCTTAGAATGTTACGCAGATCAAGAATATATATACATACGTTTAATGGGTCTAAAATTATTATTTCGCTGAATTACGAACGGAATGACAAACTTAATGTACCCTCCATACTATGTATGGTGGAGGATATAAAAAAAAGAAAATGGTTTACACAAAATCAAATTATCGGATACTCAAAAAGAGAGAAGAGTGGCAAGTAATTGCATAGCAAAATTTGTCCAGCGAGAGTTTTTCAAAACCTCACTATAAAAATTTTTCTCGCTCTCTTTAGTAGAATTTTTTGTTAACGACTTCAAAAATTGTTACGAACTTCAGGGTAAACAGAGAGACCTAATATGCTTATTTCCGAATGAAGCTAGATTTAATTTAAAAGATGTCGATATCATCAATTGTTTGAAACATCAAATTCTTGATCAGCGTAAAATCCTTATTCAAATTGGAAACAATACACCTTAAAATGTTGGAAGAGCCTCAAGTAGAGTTCAATTTTAAATATTTTGAAGTTCTGGCCACATTTTCATAAGAGTGTATAGAAAATTATTATTTCCTAGAAGACCACGCACCACTACCACGCAACCACATTTCCCTTATAAAGGGCATTTCCAAACGAAATGCCTCAGTTTGAGTTTCAGTAGAATACTATTTTTATACCCTCCACCATAGTATGGAGGGTATATTAAGTTTGTCATTCCGTTTGTAACACTTCGAAGTATACATTTTCGACCCCACAAAGTATATATATATATATACTTTATCAGCATAAAATTCTATGTCGATTTAACAATGGCCGTCCGTGTGTCCTTCTGTGGAAATCAATCTAGCTTCCGAACGAATTGAAGTAGGTTGATAAAATTGTATTCAAATGTATGTTGTGTCTGCAGGACTTTTGGTATTGAAAATGAGCTACATAGGTTCACGTTATAGGTATAGCCCCCATATGACTGTACCTCCATATATTCTATATTTGATTGATTTTGGCGACATTGATTACCGGAATTGTTTCAAAGTTCATTATGATAGTTCATAATAGGTACTACAGCCTGTGACAGAAAATTGGCTATGCAGGTCTACGTCTTCGTACAGAACCAAATTTTCGGTACCTCCCGATATTCGTATTTTGACGTTTTTAGCGATATTATTCACCGGAATTTTGTATTTGAAATTCGTAATGGATACTACAGCTAAGGACAGAAAATTATCTGTGTAGGTCCACGTTTAGTTATAGCACTATATTCTGTATTTTGATGATTTTAACGACCGGTATTGTTTCAAAATTGGTATTCGAAGTTCGTAATGGAAGTTCAAAATTATCTGTGTAGGTCCAATATAATTATACCTCCCTATATTCGGTATTTTGATAATTTTACTTACATTAATCACCTATTTTTTAAGTTTCGCATTTGAATATTGTAATGTCTTATGCCAAAAGTTGTCTATGCAGGTCCACGTCGTCGTATAGACCCTAATATAACGGCAACATTCGGTATTTTTAAGATTTTAAGAGAATTTTTTTATTTTTGGAAATTGACAATTCAAGGTTATTCAAAGTTCGGCCCGGCCGAGCTTACAGCTTTTCTACTTGTTTCCTCTTCATTTGCCGAGGTTAAGGTCGAACTTACAAAATTTGTACCTAGATGGGGATACCCTGTGCCGTCGTTGAATAACCCACTATTTTCAATCTACTGGTACTGGAAAAGGTTGACATTGTATTTTAATTGGTAATTCGGATCATGTAACATTATCCATTATCGTTTTGAAATCGATTGTAGTGATTTACCGATTTATCTTGATTTACTGAAAGAATAAAGAATCGATCACGACAGTTTCGGTACTCTATGAGGAAAGAATCTGCATAATTTGTACCTATAGAAGATACCTATGGTCCCATTTGTTCCCGTTTGCATTTCCCATACAAATACACCAAACCGTGCATCTCTTTAGGGTAGGGCAAACAAAAAACAATATGCACAGCCTACTAATGGCGTTGGGTAATAAATTCATTCATACCCAACACCATCCATCATTAACCCCTCACCCTCAAAGTATTTCGTATTGTCTTGGAGGAATTCATGTTGACGTCCGATGCATTTTGAAGTTTCAAAGAAAATTCCAAACGAAATTACAAGAGAAAAAAGATAAATTACGATAAGACGTTTTACTTTACACGGTTGACCGCTTATTCGTGCCCCCTCTCTGCCTTTGGAATATTTAAAAAAATGTTGTACATTCCCATGACGATTTCATTTCTTTTTTCTATTGTTGTGGTTGTCGTTTGAATTACTTAATTATTCTGTAATAATCTAAGTAAACGTTTTTTGTTTTCGATTTGATGACCTTTGAAGAAAAAGATAAAAGAATGATAAGATAAGAAAAGAAAAGCCAGGGAATTATTCAACAACCAAATGCAGTGGGGTAAAATGAATTATGAATAGGAGTTTATTCGCTGTGGCATTTAGCAGCTTCTAATGAACATTAAAAAGCTGATGTTTTTTGTTCGAGCTGTTCCGCAAAGAGCAAGAATGTTCCAGTTTTGCCATCATTTTACTAGAAAACTCTTTACGTAGCATAAGATCTAGTAAAAAGTTGCAGGGAGATTTAAGAATTGTAATTCAACCAAATTGATGGAGTACAACTATTATTTTGAAAAATTGCCATCAAGACTTGAAATTTTGAAGAGTTTTTCGTTCCGGCCAAAAATATTCTTTCACAAAGACCTTGGAAAAATCATAATAAGAAAGAAGAAAATTCTTAAAAGTCAATGATTTTTCCTATGAGTTTCTGAAAAGGATAAAATTTTTTTTGATGAAATTTTAAAAATAATCCTAAAAATTCAATGATTATTAATCCAGAAACACATTGGAAAAACTTCTCTCGATTTATGACCTTTTTACTTTCCACCATACATAGTATGGAGGGTATACCAGGGTGAGATAAAAAACTGCAACAAAGTTACACGCAATAATTTTTACATTTTTTTTCAATTTTATAGAATGAAAGCAAAAAATGTCGGAAATAACATAAAATTTTCGAATGAGTTTAGATTTGTTCGAATTGGTCACCTTTGGCACGAATTATGGCCTTCAAACGGCCAATGAAACCGTCACACGCTGCTCGAATGTTGCTCTGCGGTATTTTGGCCCATTCCCGGCAAAGAGTTTGCTTGAGGTGATCGACACTTTGGTATTTTTAAGTGCAATGGTGGACTGGTGCAATGGAATGTCCAAGGTCTGCGGCCAAAATTTTTGCGTGCCCAAGGCTTTAATACACCCTCCAGAATATTTTCGCAATAATATTCGGCATTTATTCTGATGCCACGGTCGATTAATACGAGCGAAGAGCAACCATCGGCTGTTATGACGACACACACCATCACCACGGCCGGCGATTGAGTTCTGGTGGCCAACCGAAGGGTTTTTCAGCTGACCTCTTTGACAAGTAAACACGATCATTTGGTTTGTTTACAAACTGTTGGACAACGAATGATTCCTCATCGGAGAAAACCAAATTCGGCAGTTGAGCACTTTCGGCCAAGCGAAGCAATTCCTTAGCCCTTTTGAGTCTCCTTTCTTCCCGTTGCGGTATAAGTTCTTGCACTTTTTGGAATTTCAATGGCTTTACCCCGAGCCCATTTTTCAATATTTGCCGAATGGAATATTGCAATATGTTCAGCTCACGAGGCATTTTTCGGCCTCTGCGACGCGGGTTTCGATGAAGTCGCTTCTTCCTCGTATGATCGATCCCTGATAACGTCCTACAACATATCTTGTAATTATAATACATTTATATTATTGCATTATTAACTTTTGTCTATTCTCACTTCAATTAATTTCATTTCATTTCGAATTCCATAGAAGTCACTGGATACGTTGTCGAAGAGAAGTACTATTCGGATAATAAATCCAAACCAATTGTGGAACGCAAAGAAATCATTTATTCCACCAATCCTGAAGAGCTGCAGGCCATCAAGGAAAAGGTCAGAGAGACAGCAACAACGACAACAACATTGAAATCCCTCAAGCATGACAAATTGGAGTCGGATGATGAATCACCGTTCAGAGATAATTCAACGGTGAGTATTATTCCAAAGTCTTTGATTCTTTTCTTTTGAATTCCATTGAAAATGTTCTCCCCTCCCACCCTCCTTTTTAGTATAAAACAAAAACCATAACGTCGGTGCGTTCAAGTCCAGAGGAATTTCTAGAGTCATCAACAACGAAATATGTCCGTCGTGGTTCGGTCAAGGAAATGAGTGAAAAATTCTTACAAAAAGAATCCGCATCAATGGTATCGGAAAAGACAAATAATTACCCAAAAGCCGGCCTGATACTGCGCACAAATTCACGCAAACAAAGCCGAGACAACGATGATATGGATGGTGAGAATAATGGTGAGTTTGTATTAGGTAAACCTATATAGTCGACTTTTTCGATCTTCTTAAAACAAATATTCGATTTTTAATTGCTATACATAAGACTCTCAAAGGGTGTAGATTTGGTCCAAACTTGGTACATCCTATGATTATAATCAAACTTAGATCAAGTTCGGAAATGTATTATTTCACTCCTTCTGTTACCTCCCCCACAAAAAGTTGAAATTTAAAAAAAAAAATACTTTACTGCACAAAAAGAGAAAATATAATACGATTTTGCTCCAACTTTGCAAATCCTAATATTTGCGTCAGTGCTAGGTCAGGTGCGAAAATAGACCATATCGGCCGAATCGAAGACCATTTGAAGCTCAGATTAGGCTTTCAGAAACAATTTTAGAATTAATTCCGATAACATTTGATTATTATTTCATGTTTTCTCATTTCAGAATATTACGAAAGCCGAACCTCATACAGGGACACCGATGAAGAGGACGAATGTCGAATGGTAGCAGGTGGTGAGAGAGAATACATTGTAGAGAGCGAAAGTGAAACGGAGTCGATAAAAAACACACAACGCGAATTTAAGAAAATCACTTCAACAAAATCATCATCGTCGTCGCGATCGTTTTTAAACACGAAGGGTGAAGAAAAAATCATCACCGGTGTCGATGATGTTTTAGATCGAATGAGAAATGCGGATAATGGTAAGACGAAAGGAAGACTTTTGGGGATCATATTTTTTTAATTTCTAATTATTGTTTAGTTGTTGAGGAAGGTGACACAGCCGAGGATCAGGAGGCCAGGGCTTTGTTGAACAAATTCTTGGGTGCTAGCATTATTATGAAAGGCGTCGAATCGACAATACCCACAATACCGACCGTTAATCGAGAAACGAAAATTATTACAACGACAACTACTGGTGTAGGCAGTGGAAGACAACCAGCCAAACACGAGGTAAGTTCAGCAGGGATAAGTTGGTGATTTTGAAGGATATTAGTCAGAAATAATATTCAAAAACTTTTTTAAAAAAATCATATCAAATATTCAGAATTTATACTTTAAGTGATCTGTAACATACAAAACCTTTACGCCAAGTATATAATTTAGTATTTAGTACTTTTGCGATTTTTTAATAGGAAAAAAATTGCAACCGAAATATTTTTGGCAAATAGTTGGAAATTGCAATTTTGGGCTACATCAGATTTACGGGTGGTATGATCTCTAGGGAAATTATTCAAGTTATTTTCTTTGGTAACATTTAAGCATACATACATTCCATAATAAGATGTGCCTGCACTTCGGGCCATCTTTGAGAAGACCTTCGGGCCTTCTATGAGAAGACCTTCGGGCCTTCTATGAGAAGACCTTCAAGCCTTCTATGAAAAGAACTTCGGGCCTTCCATAAGAAGACCATGAGGAGACCTTCTGGCCTTCTATGAGAAGACCTTCTGGCCTTCTATGAGAAGACCTTCTGGCCTTCTATGAGAAGACCTTCTGGCCTTCTATGAGAAGACCTTCTGGCCTTCTATGAGAAGACCTTCTGGCCTTCTATGAGAAGAACTTCTGGCCTTCTATGAGAAGACCTTCTGGCCTACTATGAGAAGAGCTTCTAGTCTTCTATTAGAATACCTTCTGGCCTTCTATGAGAAGACCTTCGGGCCTTCCATGAGAAGACCTTCTGGCCGTTTTTGAGAAGACCTGATAGCCTTCCATGAGAAGACCTTCCTGCCTTGCATGAGAAGACCTTATGGCCTTCTATTAGAAGTTCTTCCGGTCTTCTATTAGAAGATCCATTGCAACCCTTAAAAAACGAATAAATGTGTTTTTGATATCGAGTAGTTCAACCGGTTCAATCAGCTTGTTGACTATGTAAAAGCGTTATGAGAGCTATCTGGGTAAAAAGACAAAGCCAACAATCCGTTATAATACAAAACTGCAAAAAAGTCAAACGCCATAATTTTTATTATTTTTAAATTTTATTGAATGAAAGCTAAAAATGTCGGAATTAGCATCAAATTTTAGAATAAATTTAGATTTGTTCGAATTGGTCACCTTTGGCACGAATTATGGCCTTCAAACGGCCAATGAAACCGTCACACGCTGCCCGAATGTTGCTCTGCGGTTTTTTGCCCATTTTAGTGCCAACTTTGCTTTCCAAAATACTCCAGACACAATAGTCCAACGGATTGGTATCCGAAGATATTGGTGGCCATTGTGCGCTGGAAATGAAGCGAGGAACCTCATTTTGTAACCTATCTTGGGTGGCGCGTGATGAGTGCGATGGTGCTGAGTCCTGTTGGAATGTCCAAGGACTGCGTCCAAAATGTTTGCTTGCCCAAGTCTTTAATACACCCTCAAGAATATTTTCGCGATAATAATCCCCATTTATTCTGATACCACGGTCGATTAATACGAGCGGAGAGCGACCATCGACTGTTATAGCCACACCATCACCATGGCCGTCGCATGAGTTCTGATGGCCAACCGAAAGAGCACATTTACAGCTGACCTCTTCGGAGAAAACCAAATTCGGCAGTTTACCACTTTCGGACAAGCGAAGCAACTCTTTAGCTCTTTTGAGTCTATTTTCTTTCTGTTGCGGTGTAAGTTCTTGCATTTTTTGGAATTTCAATGGCTTTACCCCGAGCTCATTTTTATTGCCGAATAATATTGCGATATGTTCAGCTCACTAGCCATTTTTCGGCCACTGCGTCGCGGGTTTCGATCAAGTCGCTTCTTTACTTTTCTAACCATTTCTGCTGATGTTGCTGTTTTCTTCCGTCCACTTCCTTGACGTCGGGCTACGTTACCAGTATCACGGTAACGAGCGATGGTACGAGACACAAAAGATTTATTTACATTTAAATGCTGGAGTGCTCTAACGATAGTCACTTGCGGTTTCCAGCCAAATATAAAGAAATCACTCTATCACGCTTGAATTCCATCACGAATGACTTTTTTTCTGGAAAATTCTCACCAAAATGCTTCTGTACGCTTGTAAACAATATAATGAGCTGTCAGTGGTATAATTTTAACAGCTGTCAGACGAGTGGCTTGGAAATGACAGCAGCCTGAAGTTGGTTGCAGTTTTTTGATCTTACCCTATGATAAAAGATGTTAAGTCTAGCTAAGGTTAACCCTCTCCCTCTTCTCAAAAATGAGTACCCCTCACTATGTGCAAAATCATATTGTTCACAAAATTGATCCAGGAATGCATTTTCCCACACACTTTTACTCAGCTGAAGTATTTTTTCAGCGAAGATTTTTATGAATTTCGATGTCAACACTCTCTCTCTCTAAAAAATCTTCAATGAAAACTAAAAAAACCAAAACAAAACAAATATATAAGTACAATGAAATGTGTGTGTATGTATCTTCGACAATCGAACGACCAAGAATCATTCTGCACTATTGACTAATAATAGTACCAAGTTGTTTCGTACTCGAATGGTACTAATTAATGAATGCTGCTGTTGCTGCTCAAGGATCTTGAGAAGAACACCCAAGGTGATTGCCAAGAGATTGACCAACATATGTTTGATCTCCAACTACTCAGAGAACTGAATTGGAGATCTCTTTCTCTAGTTTCTGCTCTATGAGAGTATGTTGGCCAATTCATTTCTTCTCTTCCTCCTCCTCCTTCTCTTCCTTTGGCGGATATTTTCGAATGCTGTGGATGCGGTGAATGGTTTAGTCATCTTTCGCCCGAAAAAGTCGAAATGAAATTCAAATTCAGTACACACCTAGACGCTCAATAGATCACTTGTCTTTTCTTCCTCCCATTCACAGAGCAGAGCACTGCGGTGAACGACGACCACGATACGATTTTTCTCTAGAGCACGGACGAAAACGGTTCCACAAAAAAAATATAAACATTTTGAAGTAAAAAATAAAAAAAAAAAAAACAGAAATCAGAGCAAACGCACACACCAACTATACGACGGATTTACTTATAGATGGATGGATGAATATATACAAACATATACCCACTTGTGTGTATGCAGATATATGTATGTGCGCCTTGCTAGTCTCGATGATACGTGTGTGAAATAATTCCAAATAGAAAAATTCTGAAAAAATATTTAAAACAGAAAGTTTTTATATAATCAACCTTCCTAACTGCCGCACTAAAATAACGGTTGTTTGTCAAAAGAAAAAAAAAAAAAAACAAAAAAGTGAAGTGAAGGAATAAGAACCAAAGAGGAGAAAAAAGGAAGTGTAATTAACAACATTACAAAGTGTACTCAAAACTACAGCTGCATAACCATTATTTTTTTACATCCCAACCCAGTTACTTGTTGGTACTCCCCAGTTTTCATTTGAATATCAAGCTATTTGATAATTAAGTGTAAGTGAAAAAAAAACATTTTGATTTCATTGAAAATTTAAAAATATTCAAAATTGTATTCCAAGAACATGTGTACAATATTAAAAATTTCCAAAAGCAAAAAAAAAAAAAAAAAAAACCGATTATATACACAAAAAAAACGACAACACGAAATGTTCTTTCGGTTTCCTTGACTATATTTGGTAAAGTTTTCAAGAATTGTGAAAAATACTACGTAGCCCCTCAGCCAAAAGCAAAAACAAAAAGCACAGACATTTGTGGTCCATCCGCAACCTATAGATACAATCACTGTATACGTAAAATGTTCGTTCGCCATCATCATCACCATCATCGTGTGTTCAGCGGCAACAGCAGCTACCAGTGTTGCCCTGCCGACAAATGCAGACTCTTTTACGATATTGGTCGAAATTTTCCAATTTCTCCCAAATAGTCCATAAATATTTTCAGATTTTGAAATTTAGTTTTAATTGGCGAAAATCAGTAGGAAAAGTCAAAAGACGGGCGGGGCCGACTATTTGATACCCTACACCAATATCCATAATTCGTAGAGCTCCCGTGACAAAAGAATTTCTTTGAAGTAGTCCATACCACCAATCAACATTTGGCTTTGGAGCAGTTATAATTTTAATTCAGAGGGAACTAATATATATAGGAGGCATATCCAATTCTGAATCGATTCTCACTAAATTTGGGACGGAGACATTTTAATCTTTTATACCAAATAACATAGCTAGATAGTGCATGAGCAGAATTATATTAAAAAAATATATGTCGGAACCGAGTTCCACAAAATGGAAACGTACGTCCCGAAATTCATTTGGGCTCCATTTGGGCTGATATTAGAAATTATTTGCACAATAAATGTGGATTAAGGATATCTCGATCAAATTTAGCAAAGGCACTTCTGAGCTCTATAAGATATCTGGCACCAAATATCATTGTTGTAGAATGGATATGTGTCGAATGTGAGTGACTTAAACACCAAATCGGATGAAACATATTTGTGGGAGCTATAGCTATATCTGAACTGATTTTCTCCAAATTTGATGTACCTGCCTCTAGACTGAATTCGGTCGGATGTGCAAAAATTCAGGTCATTTGGACTTATATTGGCCATTTGGTGCACAATTAATCCGAAATCGGTTGAAGATACAGGGTGAGATAAAAAAACTGCAACAAAATCAAACGACATAATTTTTACATTTTTTTAAATTGTATTGAATGAAAGCAAAAAATTTCGAAAATAGCATAAAATTTTAGATTTGTTCGAATTGGTAACAGTTGGCACGAATTATGGCCTTCAAACGGCCAATGAAACCGCCACACGCTGCCCGAATGTTTCTCTGCGATATTTTGGCCCATTCCCGGCCAAGCGCTTGCTAGATGTGATCGACACCTTGGTATTTTTTACTGCCAACTTTGCTTTCCAAAATACTCCAGACCCAATAGACCAACGGATTGGTATCCGGAGATTTTGGTGGTCATTGTGCGCTGGAATTGAAGCTAGGAACCTCATTTTGTAACCATCGCACTGGTGCTGAGTCCTGTTGGAATGCCCAAGACTTTAATACACCCTCCAGAATATTTTCGCGATAATATTCGGCAT